CTTTTACCACAAATGTGACACTTGATAGAGTGAAGATTCTCTATCTAGTGAAATAATCTACTGTTGAGAAAACAAGAAAAAACCACAACAGTATCAAGAACTTACTCTTCTTGCATGGATAAAGACATCTGTAGTTGCTTAGCATATCTGCTCTGGTTCAGAAAACTTAAACCTTGAACAGTGCTTAAAATAGCTGTTTTAGGATGGACAGGAAGGGCCTTTTGAGGAAGATGGTGTTCTCTGACAGGGCAGGAGGCCTGGTGAGAAACAGCGTGCTGATGCAAATTGGCAGACCAGATCTTCAGGAAGATCTGGGAAATAAAAATCGGTGTCAGAAATATGCACTGATTTAGGCTGAAGACATTAACAGGATAGCAGGATAGACAGGGTTTGATGGCTCTATACAAAGTCCTCGGGGATCTCGTATGAGGAACTTGTCAAACTCCCAAATCCATCCTGTGCTGGGGTTCGTCCCTTGGTGATGCATCATGTGAAAAGAGACTGGAGAAATCAGAAGTCACTGTCTTTTGGAAACGGGCATGTACTGGACCAGGAGGTGCATTAAGAGTGACCTGTTGGCATCCAACGGTGTCAAGCATATGAGGATATGTTTAAGGAAAGGGAAACAGAAAATGAGCTGGCTCTCCTCGTTTCTCAGAACAGGCCCAGTAAAACCAGTAAAACTTTTATTCCTAAAGGCATCATTCAGGGTGGACAACTTCTTATTTTGAAGTTATAGTAGGATTGGAGAGGAGTTGCAGATTTATAAAGAGCTCCTTTTATAAAACAGGCTCCAATGTCTGATGTAATACAGCTACACTCCCTACATCTGTTTTAAAAATAGAATACTTACCCAGGCTCTTTCTGTTCAAACTCAATTTTTTTTTTCCTCCTAGGTTCACATTTCTTTTGGTCTCTATTATTTAGTGCAAACGTAGTGCTGAATTCATGACCTCGCTTTTCCCATGGTAATGCTTAGGTTAAACACCACTGCAGGATCAAGGAGAAACTGGGCTGAAAGAGCAAGTTCTGACAACATGAATCTGTAGCAACGCAAAAGAATTCCAGCAATATTATCTGCAGATAGTTTGAATGATCCTCTTGTTCACGAAGACTCTTTATGTCTTTGCAAAATCTTGTTATCCAGTGCCAAGACTATTCCAAGTACACTTTGTCATGTATGTACAGAACAGTTCAGACTACCATATTTTAGTGCTATCTCTTCTCGTTCGTTGGTTAATCTAACTCTCCTAACTGATGTGGTGTGCCTGAAGGGTAGGCATATGTATCTTTCGGCCACTCCTGCAGTGGTATCTTTTGAGTCTAGGGTGGGACTGTAAGGGAGGTAACATTTTAAACTGTTGCAACTGTTTGTTCCGGGGCCCCTGAATCAGTCTTAAATTCAACTTTAGGAGAAGCTGGTAACCAGTATCAAGTGGTCCTACTGGAACAGTACTGTTTTGTAGTAGGGTGAGGAAAGCCTTTCCTTTCCTGGGGCTTCTGCCGTAAGGATAAGCCCATTTAATTTAACAGAAGTATTACAGAAGATTTTTATCAATATGGTTAATCCTGCAAATACTGTTTTTGACCTTAAAATCTCCTCTTAAGGGACCTAGCTCCAAAACTACTAATGGAAATTCTTACATTACATATTTCAGGCTCTTAAGAAAAAGCAAGACTTTGAAGATGCTACTGTGGAAAATGGGCATGATAGTACTTGGTTTTCCCACATTTTGTCCTGTTATTTGACTAAATGATCTTTGGACAAGGTCTGTCTTGGCTGTGGTTAAGTATTGTACATAACACAATGGACTCTAGACCTTACAGTAATAGAAAGGCTCGCATGTGCAGATGTTCATGATGATCTTAGTACTTGGCCCACAAGTATTACATTAACCACAACAGCTGATTGGGTCAGTGCTGGAAATCATGATTCAACTGGTGAGTTACTCCAACAGACATTCTTGAGTTGCTGGACTGTGAGTGAGTACCAATTATGTCTCAACTTGATGTATTCAACCGAATCGAAGTATAACAGCTTTGTACTTTAGGTTATTAATCATGCTGAAACTTCCAAGCTGAGGGATACCTTATAACTCTTTGCTATTTACAGCATATGTTGGTTGTGATACAATAGGATTTGTCTTAGAGTGCTGTGCTGGCAAAAGCCGCTAGTGGAGATGCAGCTATATTGGTGAACTCTTACAGATATCATTTGCTGCTTGTGCGTTGGAATAAGCTTGCAAAGAAAAGTGCAGGCTTGCCTGTGTAAATTGTATGTCCACTCAGTGCATTGTGCTACTCTAGTATGTGGCAATGTCAGGACAGCCTTCCAAGTTTAGGCTTAGGATAATGAATGGGAAGTTGGACTTTATGAGAGGTTATGAAGGGAAGTGCTTTAACATTTCTTGTGCCAAAGCGATAACACCACCAAAAAGCTAAATGATAGTCTGTTGTTGTGCTCTAGAAGTGTTTCACACTTCTAGCTCTGCGTGTGTTTTCTTGAGACAGGTTCAGCTCCCAGTCTCTCAATTAAAAGCATTGCAAAATAAATGCATCGATTCAATTCTTGCACTCATACAGCCTGCAGTGTATCTTCATAGTTATTTTTAGGAGTACACAAATGCTTTCTGACAAATATCTCATGTTTTTAAACACAACAAAAAACACTGAGTGCATCTAGAACTCTTAATTTTATAATTTAAAAATCAAGCAGGTGCAGGTTTACTAAGGGATTGAACAATATCTGTTAGCACCCAATGCCTGGTGTAGTGCAAGCATTCATGGTTACATGCCATGGATGTCTCCATGTGCTTGTGCTAATGCCTACACTATCTAGAGATGAAGCATCATCCGCTGCTAATACTGCGGCACTCATCCTGAAAAGCCTGTTCACATTTGCAATCTTGCAATATATGACTGTAGAGAAGGTACAGAAAAAGGCAACATAAATGATTAAAGACATAAAATAGTTTCCAAATGATTAAATAGACTGGGACTGTCAGGCTAGAGAAGAGAGAGATGTCTTAGGTGAGTACAAGCTAGTCTTCCAGAAAATCTTAAGTGACATTAGGAAGGTGACTGTTACCTCACCTAGTCTGAAGAAATCAAATTAAACCAGCATGCTTTGAAGAAATAAGAGGAGCTATTTTTTCTCATGGTGTATAGTTAAACTGTAAAATATATTGCCCTAAGGTATCATGGATGTTAAAAGTTTACATACTCAAAAAAAAACCTAGAAAAAATCACAGTGGGAGGGATGGGGCCATTGGGGACTGCTGTAGGCTGATGCTACTGCTGTCTTAGAAAAGATACTGATCTGTGCATTGCTAGAACTTGGTAGAGTTTATCTTGGAACTATCAGTGTGTGGCTGCACCACTCTTTAACTCTTCTATAGGCATCTGCTATGAGTCACTATGAGAGACAGAATGTGGAGTAGGTGAGCCTTTGGTCTTAGCAGCAAATCCCAGTCTTAAATGATGAAGAGGGGAACATTTTAAGGAGGTAGATTTTTTTTTTCTGTGAACTTCTAATTGCCTCTCTCTAACAAGAAGGCGATACAATATTTATAATGAAAAAATGAAGCAAGACTCTCATGGAGAAATAACCTCTTATTAAATCATCTGAGAAATAATGTTTTATTAAATTACTGGTACATTCAAGGGGAAGAAAACCCAGAAGTGTCAGGTACATAGGCTTTTCTCCAGGTATTTCAATTTAACGAGGAATAGGCTTTTTTGTAACATTTCCTGTGCGTACCGCTCCAGCATACCTGTTTCTTTCTTACCCTTTAAAAATGAAGCATTAGTGAAGGGGAAGATTGGCGTCGGAAACACTGCCTCACAGATAGTAAGCATGATGGGGGAGTGGAAGGGGAAGCTTTGTCTATAATGAGAAGGCATGCTTGTATGTCTGAATTTCAGGCTTCCTAGATCACTTCCTTGTAACTGTGTGATTTGAAATCTTTAAATCATGAAGCCTAGATGTGTTGATAGTAAAAAGGTGTGATTTTTGTGTCAGTGTTGGAACAGATTTTTGTTAGCTACGCAAAAATCCCACAAAAAATAAACAATGCAGCCATGTGTAACTGTGATTATGATCAAAATAAACACTATCCTTGTGGGCTGCAACATACATATTGTGAAACAAGCTCTTTGCATTATGAGTATTTCTCACTTCTACTGGTGGCATTAGAAATTCCTGGGTTTATCTCTTATTTTTTTAGCAAGTAGGCTATGTTCTGATGAGCAATGAGTTGTGCAGTGTGTTCATTAAATACTTTATCTCTTATTTTTTTAGCAAGTAGGCTGTGTTCTGATGAGCAATGAGTTGTGCAGCGTGTTCATTAAATATTGAACTATTGTTTTATAATAAATTCATGGCTTGTAGAGACTTTAGGGATGTGATTTATTTTTTTCCCCCTAAAACTTTCCCCACTGAAAACTGCAGTAAAAATTTACCTACTCCAGTGCTCTTTAAAATTGTATCCTGAACTATGGTACTAGAAAGAGCATAGTATTAAAGAAGTCAGACAGCTGAACTTTTCCATTGTGTGTTTTAAAATGAAAAGTTTGCGGTTTTCCTCCTTCAGTTAATTATTGCCCAGAACCTTTCAATTGCTCATTTCATGGGGACATTCTATATTTACATGGTATTGCTGTGGTTTTCTTTGTGGTTTAACCATATACTGGAACAGCAAAGGTCAATACTAACTACAGATTACTTTGCCAAGGTAAAATACACCCGTATTTATTCCAACCCCCTAATTTTGCCGCTATTGGCTTGGTTTGACTCATGTAAATCAACTCAGCAGTTTAACTCTCAGATTTTAAGGCCTTTTTTTAAAGAGGCAGTTTGAGTGTTTTTTTTTAAAGGGGCATCGTTTATATATGTGCACGGACAGTAGCATCAAAATACAAAGTGAAAAATAAGTAATGAATGATAGATAAACTTGCATCACGGTGGGAGGGAAGGGGCTGGATGAGGAAGGACAGCAGCGATGAGAGATCCTTGGCATCAGCCTCTGGTTATTGGATTGCAGGGGATGTTGTATTTGTGTGGCAGTGGAAGTCTTCCAAGGGCCATTATTGGAGGTGAATGAGCAAATCTTGGCTGTGGCAGCTGGTAGGGGGCAAGGACTGAAGTGTCCTTTTCCCAGAGCTTTCTGCCCTACAGCCACACTCTGCCAAAGCAGATATTTTTGTGCGATGGATATCACAAGTATTTTTTTTAACAGTACATTGTTTTCCACAGTTACAATGACCTTGATGGCAGAGTCAATGCATTCCTCCTTCCATCACCAGAATTTCTGCTGCTTGGTGGCTTGTGTAAGCCGCAGCCAGTAGCTAAAGTATGTTTGTGCTTTTTGAGAAAGATAAATGTTGATATTTTCCTGAAACTATTAATATTACAACCCATCAGAAGATAACACTGTTTTGTGAAAACATTTTACCTTTTGAAACTAGAAGAAAAACATTCAGATATTTAAAGCAACAGTTCTGTCTTATTTTCTCTTTGCGCAGTTGTAAATATTTCCCAGGATGAGGTTTATGGAAGCCAGTATGAAATAACATTTTCTGGCTTCAATACATTGCAAGGTGAGCGGTCAGTACTTTCAACTGCTTATAGAAGGAATATGGAGAGAAAACCACAAAAAGAATCAAAGGTGACTGCTAGCTCGGATGTGTACATGGATGTAAATAAAAAGAATTGTGTGAATAGTTTCGGCCAATTTAAATGGCTTATTAAAGCTTCTGTAATTTGAGTTGCCCTCACCAGCATTTAGAAGAAGAACATTTTATTCCAGCTGTATATAAGAGCAACTGGAGCTTTGGATTTTGTGTATGAGAAGGACTGGTTTGTAATATAAATTCCCAGCATTGCAACATTTGGTGTCTGGACACTAGCAGCATAGACTCCACATTAAAAGTACACTCAGTTTTGTAGCCGTTGTTCTCTGGATTATTTTTTTATTAATTCAACTAGCTCTAAAACCTTTAAAATATGAAACATTTGGAAGTTCTTGTTCTGCTCTTTTCAAATACATTGCCTGCAAAATGCTTTCTTTGATGGTCTGTTCTGTCAGTGTTTCAGTGAGTCGTACTCTTGGCTACAGGACTGTTTCTGTGAGGTGTTACGAGTTATTTGGCTTTTTTTGGTGATGGTAGAGGGTTTTGTCCTGAACAGCTAGAATTTTCCATTCTGAATTTCTTGGTCACCGGGGTTTGCATCTTGGCTGAAAAGAAATGTGGTTTTAGTTGAAACTTGATCTATAAGCTGGTTTCAACAGGAAATTTATCATCCCTTTAACTGTTACTTTCAGTCCATTAATGTAAAGGGTTTGTGTTGCATAGTACAACAGTGGTGACACATCATTGCAGAGCAGTGCCAGATTCCCCGTCCCCCCCCCCTTAGGTTGTTTTTTGGGGCGTTTTAGGAGCTACTTTTAAAATTGCTTATTTTTCCATTTTTCTGTTTAAAATGATCTCAATTCTGCATTGTACTCCTCAAATCTTTCTTATATCTGAAGTTTCAGTTAGACTGGTTTTGAACTGCTCAGGTTTAGAGAGGAGAACAGGCACTGAAGATAAAGAAATTACAATAAAAAGCTAGTACGGAGAAGCATACCACTCTTTCTGAACAAGAAATACCAACTGATGGCTGATTTGGGCAAGCAGTAGTCCCAGGTAACAGATGTCATTCATGTAATTGTTCATGTTTGCACAGTGGTGCATGTGTGTTTGCTGGAACAGCAAGCCAGATGATTGCAGAGCAAACGGAAAGATGTGGTACTGCAGTGGGTCACCATGCTTGTGAAAGAGGAAAATATTCTCGTGTGAAGCTTCTCACACAAGCCTCTTCGGTGTGTATTGCAACAGAGGTAGGCTTGGAAGCCAGCACAGAAGAAACAAATAGACAGTTAGGCTGAGGAAACATCTGACAGGCTTGGTAGATGCAGTTGTCCTGTCCTGTCTGGTCTGACTTGTCACTGTGCTTTATACTCCGGTGGAAGGTGGGTTTACGCTGCTAATGACTGCAGGCTAGAGGAGATGGGGTGTGGATACAAGGGTCTTCTTCCCAAAGATAGTGGAGACTTATGGTAGAGGAGTAGTCAGCTGGAGGATGGTCTCTAAGTTTGATATCTGCAAACATCATGGCTGTGTTCAGTGAAGGTGTAGATGTGCAGATCTTGGCAAGGCAAG